AGGCAGGTGTGTGTAGTCACAGGCAGGTGTGTGTAGTCACAGGCAGGAGCGTGTAGTCACAGGCAGGTGTGTTTAGTCACAGGCAGGAGCGTGTAGTCAAAGGCTGTTGTGTATAATCACAGGGTTGCCAACTCCTTGAAAAATAAATAAGGGACACCTCATGGCAGGGCTCGCTGACCATATTACCTTCACCCCAACCAGCGTGATGATTCACCCCTCCCTCCCCCTCTGCTTTTCATGCTCTGAAATGAACCTGGATTTAATTGGATGCATGTTTTTGAATTGTAAAAATATGCATAGAACATTAGTTATTACAGCGGTCACTCTTTCAGGGATGAAGATGTTCACATCCGGGTTAGAGAGGAACGATGGTTTGAGAGAGGAGTTAAGGAGGCCATCTTTGAGAAAAGAAATTGTCCATCATTAAACCGGATCGGAGGCCTCCATGTTCAACTGTCCCCCTCCTACAATGCTGTTATTGCTAGTATCACTCTGCCCCGTGTGAATAGTAAACAGCCATCAGGGTGCTAACGATCCATCGTTAGGTTGATGTTCCTCCTTGATCATGTGAGCCGCTGGTTTTGGCTGTCAGCAGCAAACTGCTTGATCCACTATGAGAAGGTGCTATTCATAAGACTGAGCTGACTACAGCACCTCAGACTGAGGAAGTATTTCGGATGAAAGACGAAACGTTTCTACTTTCTTCGTTTGTTTGTTTTGTTTTGTTTTTTGAATGTCCAGACGACCAGACTTAACTTTTTTAGATTTTTCTACCTGGATTATTGAGCATGCATCAGGATATTAATTATTACTCAATTTAACAATTTATTTTGAGTGCAAATAAAATTACCAGATTAAAATCTTTCTTAAAAACAGTGATCTTTCTTAAACATTATTCTGTTCTGCTTAGCTTGAAACAGTATTAACAGAAAACAATAAAAACATTTGTGTAATAATGCATTTAGTGCAAACATAAAGTATGTAGGAAATTTGTAAAGAAACACATTGTGCCTCAAAAGCCATGACTTTCCACATGTAGTAAATAAAGATCTTGTAAACTAAAAAGGGCAATGCTCCATCATGTGGAGTCAACCTATTTCTTCCATTTGTATTTCTGTTGAGCTCGTGCTGCAGTAAGGAGTGGTTTGTTTTTCAGAGCCTAAGAGTAAAACTGAGCAAGACATTTCATCATTTAAACTGACAATGAGCTCACTTCTAATTAGTTCAGAAGAACATTTGTTTCACACATCAGTCTACTAATAAGTGGACTTATTAGCTTATTGGCTTGTTTACTGAGTGTGAAACAAATGTTCATGAAAAATATTTCACGAGAGAGACAATCCTTTCCACAAATCTATTGGAAGGTGATATGCTGAGGACAAAGGATACAACAGCTGGATGTTGGGGAGGTCAGCTGCCTGAAGAACTTGCATCCACCGCTCTGCTGTTCCCTTGAACTGCCACCTTTCCTTCTCTTGAGTTTCTGTGGTGAGGTGCTTCAATCAAGTGTTGTATACAGTACCTCAAAGTGATACTTCAGTGAAAGTACAAGTATCTTACCATAAATTACTTTGGAAAAGTTAAAGTTGCCTTTAAAATAATTACTTAATTGAAAGTCTTAAAGTATCGGACATTTAATGTACTTAAGAATCAAAAGTAAATTTATCTTATAAAATGTACTTAGTAAGAGTATTAAGTAAAAGTAAATGGTTAGAATTTCCAAAATATTTATTTGGTGCAAAATCCAATGAGAAAAAAACTTGGAAAGTTTGAACTGAACAATGAAAGATTGCTCTTTAAAATGTCTGATTCTAATGTAGTATTCAACATTCTGTTGGGTTGGGAGCTGACTGCAGGTCGTCAGTCATTGCAGCTAGCTACTACTAGCCGTGGGCCTTAGGCTTCCTCTCGGACCTCGGACCCTCAGCCAGCCCCCACCACTTCCTCCGGCTCTATCTCCCTCAGAAGTGGCAACTCATACTAACAAATAAATCAAGGAAGCTTGAATTCAGTTTTACCAATTATATTAAAATCAAGGCAGGAAAAGGTTACAATTTACAGCGCTGGACTCTCCGGTCTGTGACGCTTGTCTCGTGTCATTACTCATTTATAGGGTCCTAGACTCCTCCTTCACAGAAGGGGAGCTCAACCTGTCAGTGTATGAGGGGGTGTGACTAAGTGTGATCTCAACTGATCTTATGTGGACTGACGTGTTAGGAAATATGAGACGGTGCTTCAAAAGCCTTTCTACGTGATGTGGCAAGCAGATTAAACTCTATTCCGTGACAGATATTGAATCCCAGGGAGACTCTTTTTAGAGTTGCTGACCCAGTTTAACCCAGTCAGAACCGGGTCATAATTACATTATAATCCCGTCTCTGAGCAGATCCAAACCATAGGACCAGTTCAAAAATATCTTTACAACTCCCCCTGGGCAGGGGACCCTAAAATGGGTTCCCTCGCATAAAAACTCCCAGTTTCAATACCACCAGATAAGCAAGTAATTAATAATTTTTCCTCTGGTTGAATGTAAACTTCTCCTTATATGTTGGCGGGAGATGCCTACAGGCTGTAGCGTGTGACCTGCCAGCCTCAGGTCGCTTGACCCAGCCCTGGACATCTGCCTAGGACTTCAGCATGCCCCTGGTGTGATGCAATATGACATAATGGAAATTTCTAACATTTGTCTAAGTATGAGCTCTAAATATAATATTTAATGATTGCAGAAGGCATCCTAATGCAACAAAGCGTTCTTATCTAATAGATGTTCATCAGTATGTAGAACCTGAACTTCTCTTTTTACTCCAAGGGCAGGCCTGGTCCATTGTGTCCATCTGAAAAGGAACAAAAAGAAAAAATCTCTGTGCCCCCTTCCCCTTCAATCATGCAATACCCAATTTATTTGCACAGTGCGCTGCCGGTATGTTTAGCCTGTCACAGCAGAAAATGTGTTTGTGTGAATAAAAATCTGATTTAAACAATTAACATGTTTTAACATGCATATTGTATGTAAATAATAGAACCTGTACATAAACATAAATACTGTACATAAACTGTTAATGTTAATATTTAACCTACCCCAAAATTAGTCAATCCATCAATCATCTCATCTCTCAAAGTAGTTGGAGAAGATCTGTCACCCAATTAATGCTGAGTTCAACATTCAAATTAACCACAATTCTAAAGTACACATCTGTACTTAATTGTTAAAAATTTACCCAGAACTTAGCTTCATATGTAGATGAACAGATGCTGCAAAATATTCATCAATTAAAACGGA